TATGCAATTAAATATTTTAAAATTGACATCTTTTAAAAGCTAAAAATATATATGAATCAATAAAAGATACAAAGTATGTTCTCATTGCATATATTAAATAGTGTAATACATGCATCACTAATTTTATGATGAGAAATTGTATTACTATGTAAGATTTCGTACGATCCTGTAACCTTACGTAGAATTTCACCATAAAGTTTCATAAATCTTACGATACTGTAACCCTACGTAAGATTTTGACCGTAATATTATGTAAAAAATATGACCCATAACTCTATGTAGGATTTCAATGTAATATTTCATAAATCTTACGATACTATAAGATTTCGACCGTAATAATATATAAAAATACGACCCGTAACCCTACGTAGGATTTCACCGTAATGTTTTATAAATTTTACAAACTCGTAAACTCATATAGTTTTACAACGTAATACTCCAAAATATTACGAAAATCATAAATCTACGGAATATTACGCTGCATTTAAGTTCCAGATGTAATTATAGTTTTTTTGTTACAGTTCGTGAAGTTGTTGATGCAGAAGAATAGATAACTGGGAACAATCTCTTTGATTATGTCTACTATGTTAAACCTCTTGGGAGAGTTATGGTCGGAATCCAGTAATCAAAAGTTGGATTCATCAAAGTCATTAATTCGTTAGACCATTCAGTTTTAGATGTTTGAATGAAAAGTTATTCTTTGAGTTTAACAAAGGTACTGATATCAAATGAATCAAGTCTTTCTTGTACTAATTTGAGAGTGTCAACTACATTTTGTGGTGTCTTAGGAGGTCTTTAACAATAAGTTGTTTTTGGTTATTGATAAAGATGGGAACTGTAATTAATATGTTGCAACTTTTAATGTTGCAACTTACGTTGCAATTAGTTTTAACTTATATATGTTGCAACTAACTTTAGCTTATGTTGCAACATTTTGTAAATTTGAAATCAATTGCTGTACCATCTTTAGTTATTGATGATATTTGCGAATGATAGGTTGTTAGAATTGCTTTTGTTAAAAGTATGAGGTGGTCGATATTATTCAGGTTTAAAACAGTCATATAATAGTTTGTATGGATTAGCAGGTTTACGGTTTGAACAGTCCTTGAATTTATGCCCTGGTACATCACAGCTGCGACAGTGTTTAGCTAAAGGGTCCATCCAGAAAAGCGTTCTTCCTTTAAATTTTTAAAACTGTGCTGCTGCAACATCCAAGTCATCAAGAGAAGCAAAATTGATGAAGGAATAAGATTAGAGATGGTATTGCTGATCTCTAGGGATGAAACAAGATTTAGCCTTAATGTGAGCGAGAAAATCCTGTAATTGTAATTGAGTCATGTTAAGAGGAAGGCTAATTAATTTAAGTTCGAATTGTTGTTGTAATGAAATTTGTATAGGATTGAGGTTAGTGGGTTTTACTTGTAGTGCATTTTCTAGGAATTAGATAGATCAGTGATCATCATAGAAGGGTTTAATAGTTTTTGCTTTTTCGAAGACAATAAAGGCAATTTGCTATGGACCGCGAATGATCATGGAGAATCTGGTGATCATGTCATATTTAGCAAAGTAATTTCATAACACATCAGATTTAACAAATAAAGGATGTCAGAGATCTTCAGGATCCTTTCTTTTTCAACATCTTGTTTGATCTGCTTTTGGGCTGGATCTACTACTGTGAAGATCAGATTATGTTGTGATTCTTGAGTATCCTTTATTGCATGCAGGAGTTCATCCATTGTATGAAAGTAGACAAAGAATTTTCTCATTTTGTAAATATAGTTGAAGCCTTGATAGCCATTATAGCAGATGAATAAGGAGTTGATGTTTGTATGTTTTTCAGCAATAGAGTTTCCATTTATGTCTGACGCGTTATCAGTCGCGTAAAAACACATTGGAGCAGTAATAATGTTATAGGTAGCACCTTTCTTTTTTTGTTCACGTGACTCATTTTCAGAGACTTTATCAGACCAAGATTGTTTAGATTTTTCTTTATCGTTGTCAGGAAGTTCATAATCAAAACCTGTGTCTTTGAACATGTCATGAGTAGTGTCTTTAATGTGCATATAATCATTGGTTGTAAGTACTGGTAAAATAGGAGTTTGTTGTTCAATTGGAATGACAGTTAAGTCAACTTCCATATCAGCTGATTTGTAAGTTTCAGTATTTTCTAAAGGTTGTGAGTTTATTAAAGGAATTGGAATATCAGTTTCAGGAGTTTGGATGTTAACGATATTTTGCACTGGGATATTGTCAGTTTGTTCATTTGAAATAGTAGTAATTTTTTGTTTTTTTAGAGAAGTATTTTCAGTTGTATTTAAGTTTTTAGAACCAGAAGCTTCACTGTAGTTGTAATTTGTTCTTTTGTTAGTTTGTTGTGTTCGTTTGTGTTGTTTATTGGCAAAGATAGCTCTAGTAACTGGCATTTTTTTTCGTTGTTGATCTTTTTTTAAGAAATTGGAAAGTTGTAAGAGAGAGTTTTGCTACAAATCAATTTTACTACTTTTTTTTAGGAAATTAATTTATGCCAATCATTTCATTACTTAATTTATGCATTAATTTGATGATCGATTTTGTAGTACTAATTTGATTGATCGTCGATCATTTGTAGATCAATTTTGCAGATCTAATTTTAAGGGTAACAATACCTATACTTTATTTTACCAATTATATTTTGATTGTATAAACCTTTCAGAGCTCTCCATAAATTCTTGTTATATAAGCTAAATCCTTTATTAATCTTACATTAATACTAATTTTCAGTTGTTAGTATCATAAGATAACAGTAGCTAAAAAAATACATATTTTATAATAAAATCTGACAAAAATAAGAAGATCTTAATATTGTTGTATTACTTTAATACATTAAAAGCAAATAAGATCTTTATAATAAAAAGGAGGAAACTACTAAAAAATTAAAAATATATTTTATCCAAATAGTCATATTTAATATATAAAAGTAAAATAAATTTTTCCTAGTAATTTTCTTCTATTTTATTGCAAAAGCTTTATATTAAAACTGGTTAAGTAAATATAGAAGAATATATTAAATATTTATTAAATAATAAAAAAATTTTCTGCTATTTCTTATAAATAATAAAAATATATATATAAATAATAAATTTTAAACATATTATTTAATCATTTATATTATTTTTATCATTAGAATTTATATATATAATTTTAATGATTAATCTAAAATGAAATAAAGGACTATATATTACTATATATTAATGATTAATATCCAGTTGTTTGTTTACTCAAAATTTAACCAATTAAATATTATTAAATATTTTTAAAAATTAACAATTTTTAATTATTAATATTAAAAAATATTAATCACTATTTAATTTATCTTATTATAATATATTTATTTTTATATTTGATAGATAATAAAATATTTTATGATTTATTATAATTTAATATTTGTAAAAAAATTAAAAATTCAATGAGCTGTGTTTCAACTTTCATTATCAAATATTAAGTTATAATACTTTTGGCAGGTTGTCTAATTAAAATCTAAGAATTTATAAATCAAATTTTTATTTATTTAAAAGAAAAATGTTCAGTTTAAAAGATCTAAAATTTTCTTTATTCATTAAATGACATAATTCCTGAAAGTCTTCACATTTGTTAGAATATTACTGTTTGCAGCTAATGTTTCAATTAATGAAATGAATAAGGAAATCAGTTACATAGGTGTTCTTATCTCCGTGTTATAAAGCCTTCTCATAAAACTAACAAATATGAAGTATCAGGTCGAAATAAATCTATCGTTTTTACTTGATTGAACAAGATTTCAATAAAGAAAATTCAAATTTGTTTAGTACAGAATTCCAATTCCAATACAATGAACTTTTTAGATTCGATATTTATAATACAATAAATTCTTTTTCAATGATCTTTAATTGTATAGTAACCAATAACCAACCATCCAATATTTCAATTTTCTTTGGAATACAATGAATTGAGAGAGTTTCTTGGATCTAATCCGGCAACGAAGGACTGCCAGTTATAAAAATATTCTAACACTTTTGTATCAATTGTTGCAATTGAGATTACAATAATTTTCAAAAATATCATTAAAAATATATCACAAACGGTTAAGCGTTGATGACTAAATTATTACGACTCAAAGCTTACTAGTAATGGTGTGGTGAGTGTCAGAGTTCACGATTCTTCAGATCATCTACAATTGAAATTGCTGGTTACGATTTTTTGGCGCTTTCTTCTGGATTTTTTGTGGTATCTTGTTGCTTCCTTGGATAAATCATGTTGAAGCGGTGGAAAAAAGCTATATTCTAAAGAACTTTGATGTATTCGAACAACGTTAGATTAGATTTTAACGATATTTTAAATATTGTAATCGAAACATATAGGATTCTCGTTTTCAGTAAAATAAAATCACAACTCGAGAGTTAAATAATTAACTATCTGCGTGAATAAATATATTATAGATAAGAAGAATTTTAAAATAATAGCCTGTAAGTGATCGGAGTATTCTTTCATTGTAAAAAAGAAATCATAACACAAACATGTCAGGCTTATTTCATATTATGGGGCTTATATAGTATAGTATATCCAAATTTATCCAACGAATCATTAATGAAGGAAAAAATGATATAAACACTTCTATTTTTAGAAATATTAGTATATACATACGTGTTCATCATATGATGATTATTATGTATGTTAATTACGTAATACTGCAGCAAATTCGAGTATGATCGATCTGGAATGTTGATTTTTTTATAAAAAGGGGACCGCTTTCTTTTTTTTTTTTTTTTTTTTTTATTTTTTTTTTTTCAAAGAATATTTTTCATTCTTCATTTACAGAACAAATAATAAAAAAATTTGTCTTTCGACTCCAAAATTAATATTTCAATATGCAAATCTTTGTTAAAACTCTTACCGGAAAGACCATAACCCTTGAGGTTGAGTCATCAGACACTATCAATCAAGTAAAAGCTAAAATCCAAGATAAAGAAGGTATCCCCCCAGATCAACAACGTCTTATTTTCGCTGGTAAACAGCTTGAGGACGGTCGTTCCCTCTCCGATTATAACATTCAGAAAGAATCTACTCTCCACCTTGTTCTTCGACTTCGCGGAGGAATGCAAATCTTCGTAAAAACACTCACCGGTAAAACCATCACTTTGGAAGTGGAGTCTTCAGATACCATTGATCAAGTTAAAGCAAAAATTCAGGATAAAGAAGGAATCCCCCCAGATCAACAACGACTTATTTTTGCTGGTAAACAACTAGAGGACGGCCGCACCCTCTCCGATTACAACATTCAAAAAGAATCAACCCTTCATCTTGTTCTTCGACTTCGCGGAGGCATGCAAATATTCGTAAAAACTCTCACCGGTAAAACCATCACTTTAGAAGTAGAATCTTCAGATACCATTGATCAAGTCAAAACCAAAATTCAGGATAAAGAAGGAATCCCCCCCGATCAACAACGTCTTATTTTTGCCGGTAAACAACTTGAGGACGGTCATACCCTTTCCGATTATAACATTCAAAAAGAATCAACCCTTCATCTTGTCCTTCGTCTTCGTGGTGGTATGCAGATTTTTGTTAAGACACTCACTGGTAAGACAATTACCCTTGAGGTTGAATCATCTGATACAATTGATCAAGTCAAAACAAAAATTCAAGATAAAGAAGGTATTCCACCTGACCAACAACGCTTGATTTTCGCTGGTAAACAGTTAGAAGATGGTCGTACCCTTTCTGATTACAATATCCAAAAGGAGTCTACTCTTCATCTTGTTCTCCGTCTTCGTGGTGGTCAATAAAGGAGCATAGCACTTAAAAAAAATATTTAATGGCATTAGTTAGTTTTAGCGTAGTAATGAAGTAAAGATTATAATTTCAGGGATTAAAATTAAAATTTTTTAAATAACTTGGTTTATTTGCTTTTTAGAATAGATTTTAACGTGTAAAACTTAACAATGCTTGCACTTTAATCTGATTCAAATGTAATAAAAATTTCTCGAATTAAATAAAAAGGTCTTTTTATAACTTTGAATTCAAAATACACCAAATGAATTAAAAGATCATAAATATATTTATTTTACGAATGTGTGCGAATTTGTTTAATTAAATGATCAAGCTCATTTGAATGCGTAATCCTATTTATTTTAGATTAAAAAAAAAAGCATTTAATTGAACAAGATAATTAACAGTTATATCAGAATAATGGATTAGGACAATTTTTTGTTATTTATTTATTAATGCATGATTGTTTAGTAACTTAGGATTATTGTTTACTTGATTTACAAAAAAAAGATGCAGTAGCAAATAAGAGATGGTATTTGCTAATAAAAGTATTACAATTACAATCCCAAAGAATCTGTATATAATATTATATTGCGAGTATTTGATATTTAGTATAGGATTTGGAATCATTAAGGATAAATTTACCACTTGAATGATCTTAGTTATATGCACAAATTTAGCTTAATAATGGATTTCCTCCTTTTTTACTAACTGTCTCCCATATTATAATATTTTCATTACTATTTACATTAAATTTTTATTTTATAATTAATTTACTTAACTCATTAAAATTAATTTAATTATATTAAAATTAGTTAAACGAATAATATTACAATAAGTTCTTTACTTTATTTAAGAATTATATAATAAATTAAAGTTTATAGTTAAAATTATATAAATATTAAAATAATGATAACTTACTTTGATTAATTAACTAATATTTACTATTTTTAACATGTGATTCTTGCAAACTACAATGGTAGACAAGGTATTTGAATGGTTGTTTTTTATTAGTAGCTTACTGGATCCATTAAAATAATTGTAATAATATGTATATTTTAAGTAAAGAAATCATTATATTTCCAATATTATGCATATAAAATATGTTTATTAAAGATAAGATATATATAAGAATAATAAAAAATAAAAGGATAATGAAAAGATTAATAGAAAATCTAACTCCTTACTATTCCAACATTTACAAACCATCATATTTATATAAAATAATTTATATAGAAAGATTAATATATTATACATGTCTAATAAATCAAATATATCTAATATGTTTGTTATGTATAATATATCAGTTATGTTAAATATATCTGTTATGTCAATTATGTTTGACTATGTTTAACATGTTAAAAATGTCAGAAATGTTAGCTATATCAGATATATCAAATATATAAGTTATAACCTGTCACACTAAGTGTAACTTATGATATAGAATATTGTAATTTTTCTAATAATAAAAATAAATGTTTTTCTCCAAGATATTTTTGACTATTTTTTTTTACAATAATAAACTTTTTCATAAACTTCAAATTATTTTGTTTATTATAATTATATAAATTTACATTATTGCTAATATTATTTGTTTTATCTATTCTAATACTTTAAAAATAACCTCTACTTTAATATTATTGCAATTTTTAATATTAAATTTTTCAATATTAACTTGCAGAATTTTTGATAAAACATTTGTTAAATCTTCTTTTATTTCAAATGAATGTTGTTGTTATTGAAATAATTGAGAAGCAGTAATAAAATCTAAAATAAGTAATTTTTAGATTAGAAGTAAAAAAAATAAGTACAGCATTATTATGGTACCTTGATTTTCAGATGTAATTTTCGTTAAAGTATTTCGTTTTTTTGTAGGAAAATTATTAGAAAAAATTTCGATAGGATTATCCATATTTCTTTTTTTGTGAAATAAGAAGTGAAACATTATTTTTTCTTGGTTGAACAGTTGAAATTGAATATAAAGAAATGCCAGCAATAAAGATGGGAACTGTAATTAATATGTTGCAACTTTTAATGTTGCAACTTACATTGCAATTAGTTTTAACCTATATATGTTGCAACTAATTTTAGCTTACGTTGCAACATTTTGTAAATTTGAAATTAATTGCTGTACCATCTTTAGCCAGCAAGTGTCTTGTATCCTGTAATATCCATCTATTTTACATGAGATATACCAAGTAACATCCATAAAGATATTCTAGTTGAACACATTGAATGATTGATAAGATTTTATTTCTTTACATCAATTTTACAATCAGCAATATTTTTGAGTATATTATTATGAAAATGTTTTTCAAGTGTAGAATCACAGAATTAATTACTATGATATATTTTTCGTAAAATATTAATCCTTAAAAAAAACTCAGTAGTTTTACAATCTTTTGGTCTTTTAAATTGATATAATAAAATATCTGCTACTAGAGAATAATTATTTGGTAGATCTATGGAAATATAATTATGTCTACTAACATTATATGAATTTTTAGCATCTTCTATATTATTTTTTTCATGAGATATATTTACTTCAATACTGTGATCTTCATTAATATTGATTCAGGAATTTTTTAATCTTTTTGGATAATCATCACGCAGATTACAAAGATGTGTTAGCCAAAATCAGACATGATATGTAAGACCTTTTAATGTATCAGTTTGCATATTTGGTGAATTAAGAATAGATTCAATTTTCTACATTTCAAGTGCATCAGTTTTCTTACGAGATGTATCTTGATTATTTTGAATTTGTTTAATTCAACCATCAAAAATTTCATGAAGCCGTTTACATTTATACTTATCATGAATATTAATAAATCTAATTTGATAAAAAATATCAGATAACCCTTTAGTAATTGCAGTAAAGCCTACATGCAAAGAAGAAGGTGCATATTCTTTTTTTTCAGATTTTCTAATACCACAAAAAAATTGACAAAGCTGATTTTGCAATGCAGTATCATCTAATGATTTAAGAGATTCAGTCAAATTGGCTGCATTTCTATAAGCATTAAAAGATTCATCCAAGTTTTTGTACTATCATCTGTATTAGTAATACGAGAGTAAACTTAAATATTTTATAAATCTTTATCAGTAGAAATAACAAATCATTTATGTATTATTTATAATTGGTTCTTTTTAATAGAATATTTGATTTAGTTAATAATGTTTTCTTGAAAATACAGTTACATCTCGATATAACGAAGTTATCGATCCAGCCGATCAGGACTTCATTATAAGAATCTTTATTATAGCGTTAACGAATTATTCGTTATAGTAAATGATTACTAATTTTATTACACAAATATAATTTTACTATGATATAATTTTTCCAGAAATATTTTGTAAATTCTAGTCATTTTATTTTAACATGCAATCTGTTAATCATTGTATGACAGTTTTATTAATTTAAATTTTTTTTTAAAATAAAATAAAAATAAAATAAAAAATAAAATAAAATAAAAGAAAAAATAAAAATGAACCGAAAATAAAACTAAATGAGACGAAAAATGAAATTAAGAAACCGAAATGAAACTTAAAACGAAATTAGAAAAATGAAACGAAACCATAAAACGAAATTAGGAAAATGAAATGAAATGAAAAAAAGAAACGAAACTATAAAATGAAAAACAAAAACAAAATTAAACGTACGATACAAAAAGAAAAAATGAAACGAAACTATAAAATGAAATTAGGAAAATGAAACAAAATGAAAAAATGAAACGAAACTATAAAATGAAAAAGAAAAAATGAAATTAAACGTATGATACGAAAAGAAAAAATGAAACGAAACTATAAAACGAAATTAGGAAAATGAAACGAAATGAAAAAACAAACGAAACGAAAAAATGAAATAGAAAAAACGAAATTAAACATACGATACGAAAAGAAAAATGAAATAAAACTATAAAACGAAATTAGAAAAATGAAACGAAATGAAAAAACAAAACAAAATGAAAAAATGAAAAAGAAAAAACAAAATTAAACATATGATACGAAAAGAAAAAACGAATGATACGAAAAAAAATGAAATTAAACGAATGATAAAAAACCAAAATTATTATAGCCTTGCAGACGCATCGCGATTTTGCCGTCTATTTCAGTTTTGCCTCGCAGGCTCATCACAATTTTTCCTTCTGTTTTGTATTTGTCTCATAGTAGGCAAATTACGATTTCTCCTACGAGTATGCCTCGATTCTAAGAAAGTAAATATATTTAATATAAATCTAAAAAATCATTTAAACTTTTTTTAATTATTACCTGGCCTATTTCAGAATCAAGTCCTGAAGAGGTTGTATAATCTTTCTATAGTATAGGTCCACCTCCCACCTCTTCTCGCTCCATTTCGATAATCGCAAAAATCCTAAAAGATATTAATTATACT